GCCCGGGCCGTCGGAGGCCCCCTGGAGGCCGTCTCCGCTCGGGGTCGGGGCCGCCCTGGGCCGCCAGATCGGCCGCCCGACCGTTCGGGGGGCCGATGCGCGGCCGCACGAGGTGCGAGGAGGAGGAGCGAGGAGGAGGAGGAGCGAGGAGGGGGGGGAGGAGAATGGGGGAGGAGCGAGGAGGAGGAGGAGGAGAAGGAGGAGGAGGAGGAGGAGGAGGAGGAGGAGGAGGAGGGGGAGGAGGAGGAGGAGGAGGAGGAGGAGGAGGAGGAGGAGGAGGAGGTGGAGCGAGGAGGAGGAGCGAGGAGGAGGAGGCGGAGGAGCGAGGAGGAGGAGGAGGAGGAGAATCCGCGTCGAATCAACGCCAAATCCGCGTCGAGTCCGCGTTGACCACGCGTCGGGCCCCCCAAAAGACACACGTTTGGGACAGGCGAGGTCCCCCGAAGATGCAACATAATCTTGGTCCGCTTGGGAAGCCGCCCGGGCCGTCGGAGGCCCCATGGAGGCCGTCTCCGCTCGGGGTCGGGGCCGCCCTGGGCCGCCAGATCGGCCGCCCGACCGCTCGGGGGGCCGATGCGCGGCCGCGCGAGGAGCGAGGAGGAGGAGCGAGGAGGAGGAGGAGGAGCGAGGAGGGGGGGGAGGAGGAGAAGGGGGAGGAGCGAGGAGGAGGATGAGGAGGAGGAGGAGGAGGAGGAGCGAGGAGGAGGAGCGAGGAAGAGGAGGCGGGGGAGCGAGGAGGAGGAGGAGGAGGAGGAGGAGGAGCGAGGAGGAGGAGGAGCGAGGAGAAGGAGGAGCGATACGATAAGACACGCTTACGACCCCTGTCTTCCTGCGATGGCCATGCACATGCAAGAAAAGAAAGAGCGGCCTCGTACAGCAAGAGCATCTGCGTCCGCCGTCTGAGAAGACTCGGTATTCGGTCGCCCTGCAGGGGGGCACCACTGGCCACGTGCGGGGACCCCTGACGGGAAACACCTTGGGGCCCCGCCGAGGCACCATCGAACCTGCAAAGCAATGAGAGGCGACGACTGGACCCCTCAAGAAATAGCAGTGCGTGCGATATGCAATCAGGCCAGAAGGTGAAACGGGGGCTCAGAGGGAAAAGGACTCCGCGCGTTAACAACGCCACTGGATCTTGTCCAGGATTGGAAATCACCTCATCATAGCCCCGCACCTCTATCAATGTATGAAAGTGTATGTGCGTTAGAACTGTCAGACTGGTCCTGCTGCTGTGCTGCTGCTGTGCTGGTGAGCCGATCCTGTGCTCTGTCGCCTGCTGCGACAGCTGTGGCACTTCATCCACGCAGTGGCATGGCTCTGAGACTGGCAGCACGGACCGCCATCTCTTCAAGTGATAACTGGCACTGGAGTGGGGGCGTTAAGAAGGCCGTAAAGCTGTGGCCCGATGGGGAGGCATACTGGAGGATGGGGCGAGATGAGCGGGCCTGCAAGGCCCTCAGTCCTTCCTCCTGGAGCTGCCCCTCCCCTGCCATACGCAGCATGCGCTCAGATCCCGATATGTGAGTCAGCCTGGCTCCTAGCTCTACATCTCGTCTGCGCTCAGTTGCTCGTCGTCGTCTTATGTTCACTCCCATCCTGCCCAACAACTTGAGCGCCTCCCTCTCCAGCCCGCCCTTGGGTGCCCCCCCCCCCCCTGGTTTGTATGTGCCGCCTATCTTGAAGAGGGCCTCGCAGACTGACTGGTGAACCGCACCCACTGGCGTGGCGTTGAAAGCGATCTGGCTGCTCTGTAGCTGTGCGCTCAGCATGAACTGTATTTTGTAGTGCGTCGGTTTCTCCTGCCGTTTCCTGTTGTAGTACGTGGGCCGAATCCTGCAGTGCCGCGCCTGGTCCTGGAGCTGTGAGAGCGCGCTCTTGTCCCCCGCGATGCTGGCGTCCCAGTTCACCTGCAGGGCTTGCTTGGACATGAGTGGGGTCTCCGCGTGCTCGAGAATCGCCATGAGCAGCGCGCGCCACATGTGTGCCCATGGTGGTCCGTATGGAGGTTCTCGCCCTGCTTCCTTGCAGCTCTCGTAGTACCGCTTCCCCTCGGCGAGGGTGACCGCCGCGACTGGATGCGCGGCTGCTAGGATGAAACAACTGTAGCAAGCGCCAATGAGGTCCGCCACGTCCCTGCTGCTGTTGATGCGCAGTTGTGTTAATAATTTTACCAGTGCTTTGAGAGGGCCGAGGGAGTGAATCTGCATCGTGTGCTCCGTGACGTCCTTGAGGTCCCGCAGACGTCGGGGACTCTCGTTGTCTGGTTCTCCTGCTGCTCCTCCCTCGGCTGGTCGCGCCTTGGCTTTGCTCGCAAGTGGAAGTGCCCAGCTCGGTGCCGTCGCCTCCCATTCCACCGCTGCAGCTGCCCCGCTGCCGCCACTGCCTGCTGCCGCTGCCTCGGACATCTCGCACGTCGTGGACAATAGGTAGAACTGTGAAGTGTTCGCGAAAGTGCTGGTGGAGGTGCCCGCGATGGAGCCTAGATGTTTGACAGAGAGAACACGAATATGTTACATGCTCATCTTCTCCGGCAGTCCTGGAATTGTTCGACCTGCCGTGGGTGCACGTGCCCGTCCTGAACGAGTCCATGATATGCTTGTACGCAAAATTTCTGGACTCAAGAATCTGCCCGTCGATAAAACATTGATTATCCGCAGTAAGCAGCCCCGCAATATGTAATGACCCATGATGTTGGTGCAGGTGGCTAGTAAGCTGACGTCCAGTGCAAAACGTTTTACCACAACCTCTGATGCAACATCGATAGTCATCAACATCTCGGCGCCCTGGGGGATCATGTTCTGGCGGGCCTGATGTAGCCTGGAACCCTGGGGGGGGGGGGGGGCGCGCGCAGTAAATGTTGACGCTCTTAGCTAGGCGATGTCTAGTCGACTGAACCAGTCCGCTAGACCAGGGTCATCGAACAGCTGAAGCGGACGACGGTCCCAGTCCTCGATTTTCTCTGCGTGTTCCCCCCTAGTTGACTCGGACTCTGAACGTCATGCACGAATCTGCGGGCCCATGGTGACGCATGTTCTGGGAGGTGTCCGTGCTCATCAACAACTTGTGCGCCTCTTTCACGTTCAGACTTGATAGCAAAAAAGAGGGCCCCCCAATCGGCAGCGTGATAGTGGGGTTCACGGATCCACTTTTGGCACCACTTCAAACGGCGGACGCGGAGTTCAACTTCTAGGGGGGCAATTCGCCAGGAGTTGCAGTGCGCGTAGTGCTGCGATGGACTTCCTGCGCCCGTTGCGCCACTCAGTAGCTGCGCGCCGCGGGGCGCTCTCCTGCTCCACCACACGGTTCTGAAGACTAGAGATCTGAGCTGCCGAGGGGAGGAGAGCCTCGAGTGCCGAAACAGCGGGCCCGATGACTCTGCTCAAAAACATTGCCCTCTTCTCGGCATAGGGGATGCGTGGCTGATACCAGTGCCGCCCCGTGGACCAATGCCCAGCCGATACCGCCGATAATCGAGCCTCAAGTTCACTGCTGAATTTACTATCATACCGAACGAGCGATCCGAGATAGTTCGCGACGTCGTTAGGTACTCCAGCCATGGGTAAAGCTCCAGTTTTAATACTAGCCTTCCGAGATTGCTGCCCAGGGCCCTGGAACGGGATAACGCATTCGTTCTTGGAGGGGTTGGGTCTGTAGTTTCGGCGCGCTAGACAGCCGGCAAGCATGCGATCGTACAACAGAGACTGGCGGCTGAGAGAGATCGCCCCATCCTCTGACGGGTGCGCAGCAAGCTTACGCAGAGCATCGTCGACACGACTGTGTAGTGAGAGGTCGATCTCCAGTAGTTCCTGGCCCTCAGGGTGAAGCTCAACGACGCGCCAGTCCGCAGTGGGTTCTCCAGCTCCTGCATATGCTGCTTGTGCCTCTTCGAAACAGTCACCGAGGCCCCCGGCGAAAACCTTCGCGGCCCAGGGGCCCCCTTGCAACGCTCCAACCCATGGTTTTGAACATCGATGCCCATCAACTCCACGAAAGCATACGGCCGAAAACTTAAACCTCTGCTCTCCGTAATAGTCCCCCCCCCTACCCCCCCCCCCCCCCTCCCGCATGACCTCCTGGTTCGCCTTCTCAAGTGCGCCCCAGCTACTTGACCCATAGGCCTTACTTATATCCTTATGATCGTTCACAAACTCGAGTCCTAGTTGCCGTGATCTCCACCCCAACGCCTGCCGGGCGAGCAGCGGGGTCTCCCTCCGACGACGTGCACTGCATCCGTGTGATGACAGCAGCTCTTCATCTTCTTGGGCAGGATCAATGCAAGTCGCACTAAACGCCTTGCCAAAAGGACAAAGTACGTGCACCACTCTTTTCCAAGACAAAGCAGCCGCCTGCGAGAGATGCCAGACCAGGGGGACCTCCCGAGAGCGCCGGATTTCGTGCATGAGGGAGACCAAGGACCCACACACGACTTTGAGCTCACTATCGGGCGCCTCGCATCCTACTCCTCGAAACATGTTGAAGGTACGCTTGTGCGGAAAGAAAATCATCCAGAATATCTCCGCCGGCGCGGACCATTCGGGAACAACTTTGCGACGTCCTGACTTCTGAAGGTATTCCCGAATTTGCTGCAGCTTTTTCTTGGCCGATGGGAGGCCCTCCTCCGTGTACTGCCCCAAGAAATAATTAGCTGATTGGCCCTCGGTGGGGTGGTGGAGATACTCATTAGCATAGCTGACCCAGTCAATCGGTTCCGCCTGCATGCCTCAAGGATCTCCAGCATCACGTCGGCAGCAGATCGTTGCCTGACAGGGGCGACCTGGGATCCTAGCCGATTATCTTGCACTACCGTCCACTCTTCGCTCCTATGCAGTCTCTGCAACCCGAAGCCCGAATTTAGGTCCATGGCCAGGATGGGGAAACAACGGGTGACCGCCAGGAATGGTAACCCTCTGATCCAATTGCCGAGTTGATCACATATCTTGCGATAGCCTCTTATCTCAGAAGCTTTCTGAAGAGGGGGAGGGAAATATACGCTGGCGATCCCAAAATCGTACTGACTGCAACAAACCCTGAGTGCAACCCCTCGCCCACCTATGTGGGGAGGGGCAGCCCAGGTGTGAGTGACAGTGCCACGGCGCAGCCGCGGCCCCAGCACGATGGTGCACCCCGAGCTCTTGTTGCTACCTGGGGCGCGCGCCCACCCCGCCTCCACTGCCCGCCTCTTCCCTGCTCTTCTCCACACCACCTCCTCTGTGTATCTGCGAGCACCTGTTCCAATAAGACATACAAAACCAAATCCATTGGTAGTCTGTGATATATCCTGCAGTCGGTCATACGAGCTCGCCGACAGCGGATTATATTGCAACGCTGACACTTCTTGAAGCCTGCTCGTGAGATAGCTGCTGATGGCCAGCAGCGGCCGGCAGCGTATCTTCACCCAGGATGAAAGATACATCAGGGGAAGAGCATCGGGTCAGTGGGGCTGTGGCAGAGCCCAAAGAGAGCGTGTGCAGAGGGATGCGATACAATCTTCGTTAGCGGGTGTGGCCCCCCCGCTTCTCAAAGGGGCTTCAGGAGGAGGAGCGAGGAGGAGGAGGAGGAGGAGCGAGGAGGAGGAGCGAGGAGGAAAAGGAGGAGCCCGTGGCGACGTCGGCCGGGGGCCCAGCGCCCCCGACGGGCCCACCTTGCATCTGGGCCGCAGCGGGCCCGGTCCCGAAGCGCCCCATCGAATGACTACCTGCCAGACCACCCAAACCCGACCCGGAGACGCGAACTTCGGCTGGGGGGGGGAACGGAGGGTAATTTGGAGCCCCCCCCCCACTGGAAATGGAGGGTAATTTGGAGCCTTCGGGTTGGGTTGGGGTGGTTTGGTGGGTGGTGATCAAAGGGTCGCCCCCCCCCGGGACTAAGAAGGGGATCGGTGGGGGGGGGGAGTTTTGAAAAAGTGGGCCGCCCCCGGGGAAGGGGGCCCGGTTCCACGCAATATGTAATAGAGGATAGAGATAAGGAGTCCAGGGAAGCTGGTGGAACTCCAATCGTGGACTGGCCATGGATATCACCGCCGCCACCATCAGATAAATACTCCCCCAGGACCGAAACGTTCCTGGGCACATACCTCAACGAACGCCCCCACCGTATGTTGTACCAGTGCCTTCCCAAGAGCGCAAGAAGCTGTTATCAAGCCGTCCTACCGCAATCAAGCACCTGGCGTACAGGGACAAGCGCTGCAGAGACGCTCTTGCCTCTCTCAGCCCCCTCGCTCTGGGTAGAGTTGCTTGTGCATCAGCTCGTCTTGATCTGGCTGATCGCGACAAGGCTCGCGAAATAGGCAAGACTGCCTGCCGTGGTCATGCCTCGCCCTGAACGGCCCAGGCTGGTGAGCGCTCCCGTCTTTACACCCTCGGAATCGCCCACGTTCATGACCTAAGGTCTGCAATCAAAAACAATCATTATCAGCATCACCGTCACAATCGCCAAAACCATCGTCACCATCACATAAGCCATCACCATCACCATCACCACCACCACCACAAACCACCATCATCATCATCATCATCATCATCATCATCATCATCATCACCACCACCACCACCACCACCATCATCATCATCATCATCAGCATCATCAGCATCATCATCATCATCATCAACATCATCATCATCATCATCGTCATCATCATCATCATCAGCATCAGCATCATCATCATCATCATCAGCATCATCATCATCATCATCATCGCCGTCGTCGTCGTCATCATCATCGTCGGCATCATCATCATCATCAGCATCAGCATCAGCATCATCATCATCATCACCATCAGCATCATCACCATCACCCTCATCACCCTCATCAGCATCACACCATCACCATCACCATCATCATCACCATCACCAAGCCCCGCCTCTTCCAACTTCTCCCCCACCCTCCTCGTTCACCCTCCACCTCCTCCACCTCCTCCTCCTCCTTCTCCTCCTCCTATTTCTCCTCCTCCTCCTCCTCCGCCTCCTCCTCCACCTCTTCCCCCTCTTCTTAGTATTATTCTTATTATTATTAGTATTATTATTATTATTATTATTATTATTCGTATTCCTCTGTTTCTTTTTCTCCTCCTCCTCCCTCCTCCTCCTTCCTCCTGCTTCCTCCTCCTCCTCCTCCTCCTCCTCCTCCTCCTCCTCCTCCTCCTCCCTCCTCCTCCTCCTCCCTCTCCCCTCCTCCTCCTCCTCCTCGTCCCCATCCCCCCCCCCTACTGCCCCCTCTTCCCCCACCCCCCCCCCTCTTCCACCACTCCCCCTCCACCCCATCGGGCTCCTGATCCTTCCCCTCCTCTCCTCCGCCCACACCCCCCACCCGCCGCCACCCTCCTCCAACCTCCTCCTCTTCCCTCCCCTCCTCCTCCTCCTCCCTCCTCCTCCTCCTCCTCCTCCTCCTCCTCCTCTTGCTCCTCCTCCTCCTCCTCCTCCCTCAACTCTTCCCTCAACTCCTCCCCGTCGGCCCAGGGGCACCTGCGTGAGCCCCCGCCCCCAACCCACAAGGGAGGGGCGCCAGGCATTGCGGCTCTGGTTCGGGGTTCCGCCTCAGGCACCGCGTGGGCCAGGCAGGCCTCGTTGACGCCCTCCCTCCGCGCCACGCGCGGCGCGAGGCGGCGACGGCGGCGGCGACGGCGGCGGCGACGGCGGCGGCGACGGCGGCGAAGGCGGCGCAAGAGCGGCGGCAGCGGCGTCGAGAGCTCGGCGGCGCCAGCGCCGACCGACGGCGGCGGCGTCGACGAGCGACGGCGGCGGCGCCGTCGCCGACGACGCCACGCGCCACGCACGGCGCGAGGCGGGGCGGCGCACGCGGGCGCGCCTCGAGCCCCCCCGCTTCGCGCTGCCAGGGCGCTTGCTTGGCGGGCCGCCGATCCGCAGCGGCTGCGCCTGGCGCCCGCACGCCACGGCTTTCAGGGACGGCCAAATGCGGGCATCGACGCCCCCATTTCCGACGACGTCGACGTCGTCGACAAAGTCGTCGACGTCGCGGCCGTCGACGTCGACGTCGTCGACGACGTCGGCGTGCCGTTGTCGCCATCATCGCCGTCGTGGTCGACACCGTCGCCGCCGACATCGCCGCCGCCGCCGCCGTCGACGACTTCGTCGACGTCATCGCCGCCAGCGCCGTCGACGCCGTCGTCGTCGCAACCGCCGCCGTCGCCGCTCAGAAGCCAGCGCCAAAGTCGTCACGGTGAGCGCTGCGCACCCTGCGGCGGCGATGATATCACGGCGGCGAGGTCGCCGCCGCCGTCGACGACTTCGTCGACGTCATCGCCGGTGCCGTCGCAATCGACGACGTCGCTGTCGACGCCGTCCTTTCTGTTCTTCGAAGCTCGGGGACAAGGGGCGAGACGGCGCCCGCGCAATGGTTGGGCAACCGCACGTGAACAGTGCCCCTGCAAGCTAAAATTCCAAAACGCTGGCAGGGGCACAATATTACAAGGATGCTCGCAGCCAAGTGGTGAATCCCAGGGGGGCGTTCGATGCCCCATCGCCGATTGGACCCATAGCGGTAGGGACCGACTGCGGTCGCAGAAGCGCGCCTCCTGCTGGGAGCCGGTGCTCTGGCCACGCCCACTGGGCCCGCGGGGCAGGCTGCGCGGCGAGCTCCACGGCGCCGCGAGGCCGCAGCAGCCCGAGGCTGCCCTCGCGGGCTCATCCCCGCCCGCAGGCGCATTCACTGGAGGTCGCGCTCGGCGCCACATTGTCGTTTCGCACCCACCCCTGGGGCCGACGAAGATCACCCAGAAAGAAGAATCACCAGCGGGGGACATGGCGACCCCAAGTCCCGCATGTGTGGAGTGTTCAGATGGTCGAAAAGCCGGCCCAACTCAGGGATGTACGATGGGGGGGCGCTCACCTTCGACAAGGGCATGTTTCCCACTGCAAAGCCACAAACAACCTCAACCCCATGACCTGTAGAACAAGGCAGCGAGAGCTGCGCCGCAGAAGGAAACAGAGGATAGCGTGACGGCCGCCAACTGCAAAACGACCATCCAAAGCATACGAGAACAGCACATCGTGAAACAACGAGAAAACGGGCCAGAGAAATGAGCCGGGCCCCGAGAATCAGGGCCCGAGGCCTGACAGACACACAGACACACAGACACACAGACACACACAAACACACACAGACACACAGACACAGACACACACACACACACACACACACACAAACGGCCCGATCGATCGAGCGCTCTGTCCAGCTCGGGGCTGCCGTTCTGCTGCCAGTGCTGGTTCGGCCTTGCTGTCTTCACTCTGTGGGAGGTCTCTCGCGCCGCGTGGCGTCCTGGCCTCTCCTGTGCCGGCTCCTCCCGCGCAGGGGCACGCGGGATTGGCGGCACATGCTCCTCGCAGGCGCCTGTTAGCCAGCTGCCTCCCACTCTGCGTCGGTATCCTCTTCGTCGCTATCGGTGACGCGCTGCTCCGCTTCGGCGCTGGATGCGTTTCCACGCGAGGTGCCGCGCGACCGACTGTCCGAATTGCGCCCGCTGTGTCGATCCGCTCGACGACATCATAGCGGGACCATTCGGCGACGGCCTCCTCGATCCCCTCGTGAGACTAGGCGTGCATTCACGAGGGCGTTGCCAAATAGCCCTCCTCGAGACGCCTCCCCACGACGTCTCACACGAGGTTTAAGAAAGCGGGCGGCATCTCGAAGGCTGCGTGGACCCTGTGGCATTCGCGCCCCTGCGTGCCCAGCGTCGCGTCCTGGTCGTCGTAGCTCTGCTGCTTCTCGTGAGCCGCGGGTCCAATGTTCAGCGCCGCCCCCTGGCCTGCGAGCCCCTGCTGCTCCTCTAGGATCGGGGTGTCTTTGGTGCCCAGCGTCGCGTCCTAGTCGGTATTGTGCCGCTGCTCGCGCGCGCGTCGGAGCTCCTGTTGCCCAGTGCGCCCTGGTTGCCCCGCGTCGCCCACTAGTCTGCGAAGCCCAACTGTTCCTCGTACTTCGCGGGGTCCTCCATGCACAACGTCTCGTCCTGGCCCGCGTAACTACATCGGCGCTACGCAAGTGTTGGCCCGTTTTGTGTTTTGAACGAAACAACGCCTGAGCATCACATTGGTTGTGGACACCACGACGGCCGTGAGCATCACTCCAAAGCCTGAGAGCACCACGGAACCTTTGAGCAGCCGAGCGCCGATAATCAATCACCTTGACGCTAGCACCCCCGTGCCGTCGTCGTCGTCGTTGTCGTCGTCGTCGTGCTCGTGGACGCGGTTCTGATCGTAGTCTTGATTGAGGAAGTCCTGGGCGGAAGCGCCATTTCGAAATCGAACCCGAAGGTTTCGAATTCTGTTTTGGAGAAAGTCCTGGGCGGGAGCGCCATTTCGAGTTCGAACGGAACAAATGCCGAACCTCATTTTGCAGGAAGTCCTGTGCGGGAGCGCCATTTCGAAATCGAAGCAGAAGAGGTTTCGAATTCTATTATTGCGGAAGTCCTAAGCGGGAGCGCCATTTCGAAATCGAAACCGAAGGCTTCGAAATCGTTCGAAATCGATTTTCCCGAGAAACTATCAAGCGGAACCGCCGTTTCGAAATGGCCACACAGCTTGGCATTTAGAATTTTACAAGCCCTGACCCGAAAACTCGAAAATGCAGCTTTCGCTTCGGACTTCCTCACCAAAACAAGCTCGACTGGATTTCGACATCCTCGGGCTCGATTTCGAAATGTGGCTTTCGCTTAGGACTTCCTCCCCAAAACGAGCTTGACTGGATTTCGAAACCCGCGAGCTCGATTTCGAAAGGGCGGTGCCGCCCGAGACTGGAACGAAAAATGCTTCAACCGAGCATTGTACTGGGGCCCCGCGGCCTAACGGGCCACTGCCAACGTTGTACAAGGGCTTCGTCGCCTACCGGGAGGCGTTGAATTTTGGCCGAACTTTCGTAGCGGCGAAGTATGCTGTGGCTCCTGCGCCGCGTTGCCCTTGCTGCCCAGCGCCGCGTCCCTCTCTGCGAAGATGTGTTGCTCTTCGTGAGTCTTGGCGTCCTTGGTGCTCGGCGTCTCCTCCTGGTCTGCGAATATCTTGCGAATATCTGCAAGTCCATGTATAGTTCGAGGTGTCCTTAGCGCTCACCGCCGCTTCCTGGTCTTCGTAGTACTGCCGCTCAGTGAGGCCGGTGTGGTCCAGCGTCAGTATCTGGTCTGCGGGATTCTTCTGTTCTTCGTGCGACGCTGTGTCCTTTGTGCCCAACGCCCCGTCCTGGTCCGCGTAAGTTTGCTGCTTCGCTGCCCTTGGTTCCCAGCGTCTCGTCCTTGTCTGTGAAGTTCAGCTGCTTCTCGCGCGCCGCGAGCATGTCGTTGAGGCACTGCTCGTTGTGCTTGTTCACCGCTTCGTGAGTCACGAAGGTGAGGCAGTGCAGCTGTGTCTGCCTACCGCAGTGCGCCTTACGCGCTTCTGTGAGCTCGAAGTCCACTTCGCGTGGCACACGCGGGCGGTCACCTCCCCTTACGCTGTCACCGCGAACTGCGTGATGACTGTATGGGTTCGGCTGCTGCCCCGACACATCCTGGGTCCAGGTGGCGGCTCAAAGAGCCAGACGAGGAGGAGGAGGAGGAGGAGGACACGCTGGCGCCACTAGAGGGAAAAAAGCTGCGTGGCAGACACTTTTTTTTACCATCCAGCGGAGCCCAGTGGCAGGGAGGCAGGAGGCGGCGGGGGGGAGGGAGCGGGGAGGGGAGGGGGAGGGCCAGGCGCGCGGCTCGCAGCCCGGCTGCGTGGCAGACACGTAATGTGCATGCACCTCCGCTGACGCAACGGCCAGCGGTACCTCACGCAGATGCGGATCAACGAACAGCAGAGAGAGGAGACGGAGAGAGAAAGAGAGAAAGAGAGAGAGAGAGAGAGAATAGAGAGAGAGAGAGAGAGAAATAGAGAAAGAGAGAAGGATCAAGGGATAGGACGCGAAAGGCAGACGAGCACAGCCGCAGTGCAGTAGGATAGCCAAGGCCAGTAAGGCCAATGTCTGATATCACTGCGCGGCGGCATCGTGCCACGCATGAGCCCACCTAGGCGGCAAGTGGTCAAGCCCAACGCCATGGCTGGGGTTGGCCGCCGCCGGCTGAACTGGGGCCCACATGCAAACGATAGACCGCAGACCATCAAATCAGAAGAGTCACCTGAACAACAAGCATGGCGAGGAGAGAAAGGAGGCGGGGAGGGGAGGGGAGCGAGCAGAAGCACCGGAACAAGGCGCAGGCTAAGATCACACCGACACGTCGTAGCCTTGGAACTCGGTATCCGATTCGCTGCCCACAGGCTACCCGCTGTACTGACGCCCCAGCCCTGGATGCCAAAGACGCGATGCGCCTTGAGATGTCCCCATTGGCAACATGGTTGGCGATCAGGTCGAGTCGAGGATGCTGTCGTGCCCGGACTGCCGCACTCGCTCGCACAAGTCATAGACATGCTGGTCTGCAAGGTGTGGTCGGCCTCGGCCGTACCTACTTCATCATCTGTCCTGGCGTTCCGCCCGTTTCTGAACGGCCTACACGGTCCGGAACGCTGGGATAGCGAGTCGCCATGGCGGCTCCGGCGACACGCTGCTCCCCACGAGCCGGAGAGCGTGCCGCACCGTTCCGCGGGACCGGGACGGCTCGGAACGGCTCGGGACGCTGGCGCCCGAGGACTGAATGGACAGCATGGCGCGGCGAAGCGTGGAGTGCCAGAGCCGCGCTGCCCGAGAATTCCCGACGGGATCTTTTTCGAAGCGGAGCTCGGGGAATGGCGGCGGGAAGTCGCCTGCGAATGCTTGCCTCGAGCGATCCCTGTCCGCGAGCGCGAGAGGGGGCCCCAGAGGCACGCTACAGATAGAACAAGAGAAAACTGCATAAACAGAAACTTTAGACGGATTTCTTGGGTTCGCGCTGGACCCCCCCTCCCTGGCGCACGGAGCGCGCCAGGGGCGGCGCCAGGGGCGGCGCCGGAGGCGCAGCCGGGGGCCCCAGACGCTGATCCGAGAAGTCCGCGCAGAGCGCCACAAGTTTATGGTTGTGTGTTAGTTTCTTCTATCTGTTGCGTGCCTGTGCTCCCGGGGTTCCCTCTCGCGCTCTCGGGCAGGGATCGCTCGAAACAAACATTTGCAGGCGACCTCCCGCTGCCATTCCCCGAGCTTCGCCTCGAAGAGTCCGAATCCAAGAAACCCGCGCGGAGCGCCAAAGGTTGATGCCCATGTGGCGTTTTCTCGGCTGCACGCAGGAGTGACCCTGGGTAAGAGTGACCTTTGTTGCGCGGCTTCTTGGGGGCCGTGGGGGAACCAAACACAGGCGCGCAAGACGCCACCATCGCATCGCGCTCGGCGCTTGGGGGGCCCCACTGGGCCCGCACCACAGGCCACTCCAGCGAAAGGTCACTCTTACGTATAGTGGATTTTCTTCTTCGAACAGAGGGCCCCTGCCTGCCGTCGGGAGCGGCCAAGAGGGGGGTGTCCAAGAGGGGGGTGCAAATCATGACCGGCGGCATGTGCGCGGCCCAGCGGGGGGGCCAGGGACGTAATGAGACAAGAAGAGGCGCCATGAAATCTGGGGAAATATCATGGCCCCCGCCATGATATCCACCCCCCCCTAGTCATCACCCCCCTCTCTTCCGCCCCCGAACAGAGAGACCCTGCCTGCCGCGGCGTGCCTGCCTCGCCCCTCGTCGGAGACCCGGGGCGGGGACTTGCCCGGGGGAAGCACCGGCCCTCTCCTCGGGCCCAGCGGGCTCTCCCACGACGAGCGGGGCGAGCGTGTGCGGCAGACTCCGGAAACCCTCAACCCCAAAATGATGTCCTTCTCCTCTTCCTCCTCCTCCTCCTCCTCCTCCTCCTCCTGCTCTTCCTCCCCCTCCTCCTCGTCCTTCTCCTCCTCCTCCTGCTCCTCCTCCCCCTCCTCCTCCTCCGCCTCCTCCTCCTCCTCTTCCCCCTCCTCCTCCTCCTCCTCTTCCTCTTCTCCTCTTCCTCTTCTCTCCTCCTCCCCCTCCTCCTCCTCCCCTCCTCCTCCTCCCTCTCCTCCTCCTCTTCTCCTCCTCCCTCTCCTCCTCCTCCTCCTCTTCCTCCTCCTGCTCCTCTTTTACCTCCTCGGAGGTCGACTTCTGCTTGTGCTGGCTTCCGCCATGCTTCCGCCGAGCTTCCGCGGGTGGAGCCGCCGCCGCATTCCTTCCGCCGCCTCCCGCCGCGGAAGGGACGGCAACTCCCTCGACCCTCGAGAGCGAGGCCCTCTTTGGAACGCCCCACAGATCCATATCCACGCCCTCGCGGTGTGGACTCTTCGGCGGTGGACAAACCTCCCTTTAGTAAACCACCCTAGAGTGAAAACGGCCTAAGACCGAAACCGACGGACCTGGACCCACAAGAGTGACGGCCGCGAAGCCCTCTCGCGAACCGAAGACGGCCGATTCGCTGGTCGACGCGTGAGGGCAGGAGGCCGATCAGCCGCCGACAACCTCTTTCGATCCTCGAACGCAAAACACATTTTGGAACGCCCCACGTGGGGTACGCAAAACAGGGCCAGGATCGGGACAAATCGCTCCAGAGCGTTCCAGAGCGCTCTCAGAGCGTTCCGGAACGCTCTGGAGCGGCCGCGGCGCCCAATACATCCTCCAAACCCGCCGATCCTCACAGATTTCGAGCTATCCCGATCCGATTTTGTCCCGATCCTCGCGTCGTTTTGGTACGACCCCCTGGCGGTCTGGACTCTGGGGCACGATCCCGCGGACGCGCCGTCGCACGGAGACGCGCCGCTCTCGCAGGGCAGCCGGTCGCGGCCCGGACGCCCGGCCCGCGCCACGAGCCGCGGCGTGCAGGGTGCGGACGGTGGGTCGGAAATTCTTGCCCTCCTCCTCCTCCTCCTCCTCCTCCTCCTCCTCCTCCTCCTCCCCTCTCCTCCTCCCCTCTCCTCCTCCTCCTCCTCCTCCTCCTCCTCCTCCTCCTCCTCCTCCTCCTCCTCCAACAGGACGCTTGGGAAACATTGCACAGGCCGCCCCGGCCCTCCCTGGCAGGTGCTGCAGAGCCCCGTGCCCGAGGTGCTGGCGCCCAGCGGGCCCCTCGGGGGCCTGCTGCGCAAGGGTCTAACATTGGGTCGGGCATGTCCCCCTACAGGCAGACTTTGGACGACAAAGAAGCATTAGTCATAAAACGCCCGACGCTGATCAAAAATAGTAGGACAGTCGTCCCCAGACTAATGTTTTACTATATTTGAACACTCCTCCTGTACAGGGACAGGCCCGACTTAGATCTAACAGCGCAAAGTTGCTGGGCGTGGACGAACCGACGAGCACAAACTCTCGAGGGTCCGCGCGAATGTCCCTTGGATCGGCGCTGGACCCCTCAGGGCGGCGGCCTGGGAGCCGCCCCCGGCGCGCTCCGCCTGCCAGCCCCAGGGCCGACAGCTTGACGCGCTGCGCCTTGCAAGCTGATGTAGCGTGTCGCTTCGCTTCGCGACGGGGGGGCGGCACAAGATGGGGACGTTGACGTTTGGAAGCTGGGGCGTGCTCAGCGTGTTGCGCCGAAGCGTGGTGTGCCAAAACCGGTGGCGCGATACGCAAAGCATGGGGATGCCAAAAGATACCGATGATTACAGATGCTCCCTGGATCTCTTCAGGGGTGCGTCCTGACCAGGACTTCGAGGCGAATCCAGCGGTGGCGACGAGGGCCTTCCAGGAGACCCAATAAGAGGAAAACGATGTAAGAGTAGCGGTATGGGGGCCGCTTCCTCCTCTGAAAGCCAGGGGTCGTGGCCGTACGCACGCTGGTCTTATTCGATGCATGCTAGGTCGGGCAACGTCCCCAGACTATGTTTTGACAAGTATTGCACATTCCTTCTGTAGAGGGACACTTTTTGGTCTGCGGGTCGAGAGCGAGCCTCTTCCGGTTAAGAGCTAGGCGGGCCGCGCAAAGCACTAACTTGGGAGACAGGGCGCGCCCTGTAGAGGGACAGGCACGACTCAATTAAGATGAATGTCGGCTGCAGCTGCGGCGGACGCCACAGGGCGGAGGCGCACGCGCCTGCATCGCCTCTCTCTCCGCCTGCTCCCGCCGGCTCAGCAGGCTGCCGGCCCACTCGGAGAGCTTCTGCTTCTGCCGCTGGCGGTGCTCCTCCCACCTGCGGGTGGGCATTATTCCCAGATCGAGCGCGAAGTCGGCGGCGGGCGAGGGGCGGAAGTGAGAAGGAGAAGGCCCTCTCAGAAGGCAGCGGGGCTGCTCAGAAGCTCTCGGGCCCTCCGAGGAGTTCCCTGCGTCTTCGGGGAAGGCGCAGAGCACTTCTCAGAAGGCCCGGGGGGGGGGGGTCCGAGCGTTCTAGCCGGGGGATCCAAGCACGAAAACGTGCAGTGTTCGGCCACCGAGTCATCCCCTGCGCGGGGCGCTTCTGAGCCAGACAGACTGCTGACGACTTGCATGCCAAGGGGTGTGGGAGCATTGCGCCTCCTCTCTCCGTCTCCAACGCTCCCTGTGTCAGCCCCTACCCCCGCCGCCCCTCCCTCCCCCATCGTTCCGCCCGTCCTCTCTCCCTCCCTCCCTCGTCTCCTCCCGGCCTCCATCTCCCGCACTACCACCTCTCCTGTCAGGCGTCCCTCCTGACTCGTACTCAAATCATTGAAGGGGGCCATTGCAGCCCCCGGAGCACGCATGTGGCAATTCGCAAGGTTCATGTCAATGTGCAGCTCGACCAAGCACCAAGCGTGGCAGCATGCTGGTATATTCAGTTCGGCAAGGCGTCCCACACGTTCACAAAGAAACCGTGTTGATTCCCCGATGCCTCTGACATTGGCCCGACTCGGGATTCGGCCCGCCCACAGCAGTCCAGGCCACTCCCTTCTCCGATACACGAAATCGCCCTCGTTCAGGCGCGCACTTGCCTGTCGAAGAAGTCCTGGCTCGCACTCCTATCACGGCCATTCTAGGGCCGCTGCCAGCAAGCTCGAAAGCACGGCTGCACTGAAGTGCGCCTGTCGATGTGGCAACTGTCGCATGCCCAACCTTTCTAATCGTCCTCCTCCTGCTCCTCCTCCTCCTCCTCCTCCGCCCTCCCTCGTTCCCTCCATCCATGCATCCCGCCCTTCTCATCCACCTCCCTCACCATCCCCATCTCCTGCTGCTCATCCTGCCTCATCCTCACCGCAGTGCACCCCTTCTCCCGGCCCCTCTCCTCCTTCTTCTCCTCCTCCTCCACCTCCTCCTCTTCTCCTCCTCCTCCTCACTCCTCACCCTCACTCTCCTCCTCCTCCTCCTCCTCCTCCTCTCCTCCTTCTCCTCCTCCTCCCCCTCCTCCTCCTCCTCCTCCTCCTCCTCCTCCTCCTCCTCCTCCCCTCCTCCTCCTCCAGCCCCCCTTTCCTCCTCCTCCTCCTCCTCCTCCTCCTCCTCCTCCTCCTCCTCCTCCCTCCCCTTTTCGCCCTCCTGCTGCTGCTTCTGCCACTGCACCGCCACCGCCCTCCAGCCCCCTCTCGTCCTCCCCCTCCTCCTCAAGAGACGTCCGGAGAGGCTCCGGGGCCTCTGGCGCCTCTCCTGCTTGAAATGCTCGTCATCCTGCGTGCTGCGGTGGTGACGAAGGCCAGGACTGCGACGCAAGCGAAGCATGGCTAATAAGAGAAGCAGGAGAGGGAGGGAGACGAGGAGGATAACTTAGGAAGGAAACTCTGGGAGGTAGTCGTAGTGACGATTGCGAGCTGATTCAGCCCAGTTGGAGGGCAAGTCAGCTGGACTAGCCAGATTAAGCCGGACCCAACGCGATTTGGCGAAACTGCACAGGATTGTGCCGGTTTGGGACGGTTTGCGACCGCGGATCTACCAGCGCCGATGCTGAATCCAGACCCCAGGGAGCTGCATGCGAAGACCAGGGGGAGGAGGGGGAGGGGGAGGAGGAGGAGGAGGAGGAGGAGGAGGAGGAGGAGGAGGAGGAGGAGGAGGAGGAGGAGGAGGAGGAGGAGGAGGAGGAGAAACAGCAGGAGCAGCAGGAGCAGGAGTAGGAGCAGCAGCAGCAACAGGAGCAGGAGGAGGAGGAGGAGGACGAGGAGGATCTCTGGGGCATCGGTCGCCGCACCTCGGTGCATCGGGTGCCCTCTCGGCGTCGGGCGGCCTCGGGGCGGCCTCGGGGACGTGCGGGGTCGTCGTTCTCGTCGTTCTCGTCGTCGTCGTCGTCGGCGTCGGCGTCGTCGTCGGCGGCGGCGGCGGCGTCGGCGTCGGCGTCGGCGTCGGCGTCGCGATTGCGTCGGCGTCGGCGGTGTCGGCGGCGTCTGTGGCGGCGGCGTCGTCGTCGGCGGCGTCGTCGTCGCGAGGACGCGGGGCGCGAGCGAACCGCAGCTGCGTTCCCCATCCAGGCGGCGGGAGGCGGCCACGAGGCGCCGCAGCAGCGGTGCGCGCAGCAGCCTCGGCCTGCGCGCGTGCGCGCTGTGCTGCGCTCGCAGAAGGGAATGCGCCACGCACGCACACACACACACACACCTATATATATATATATATATATATATATATATACACACATACTTACATACATACATACAGATACCCCCCGACGAACTCCGCGTGCACCGTCAGGGAGGGCGGCGGTGCAGAAAGCCGCTGGCTCTCGGCGGTGATCGATACACCGCCACCCTCCCCTGACGACCCGGAAACAGCGAAGGAAAGGAAGAAGGGCGAGCCCACGGCGGAACAAAAAGCGGAAGAGCCGAAAGTGGTGTTTGCGCACTGTCGGCGGCGAGCCCGGGGGGGGAACGAAACGGGGCGGGCCCCCAAACATTGCTCGGCAATCCCGCTGCCTTCTGAAAAAATTGTCCGAAGCCTTCCCCGAGGACTCACCAAACCCCCCAGAAAATCGGAGGGCTTCCGAGCCGTCCTGCCGCCCTCTCTCCTCCTCTCATTCCCCCCCTCCCTCGCCGCCGAGACGAGAAAGGGTGAGCCGGTAGCGGAACAGGGGAACAGAGGAAGAGCCGAGGATGGTGTCGCCCCTGTCCCCAGGTCGCCCAACTTCGCGCCTCGCACCCCCGCGGCGCCCGGAGCGCGATGATCCTTCGACCCTCGCGGGGCCGCCTTTTAGAGGAGGGCAGGGCTTTCTGGCGAAAGCCGCGGCGCGCGGAACGAGGCCATCTTGGCGTCCCCAAGGGTGGTCTGGCGTTCTGTTCCAGTGGACCCTGGAGTTGTCGCGGCAGGTCGCGGTGGAATGTGTGCGCGCGCGCTGCTGGTCAGGGCAGAGCGTGCGCTGCGCGCGAAACCCACGGCAGCCTGGCAAGGAGGATGATGCTGCTGATGATGTTGTTGATGATGATGGTGATGATGATGATGATGATGAGGATGCTGATGATGATCCCCGCGGCTGAAGGGAGGGGTCAGGAGCTCCTAGCTCGTACTGTCCCTCGGGCCGAGGCGTTTCCCTTTGGCCCTGCGGAGGCAAGGCCCAGTCTCGTACGCCTCGGCGCACACACGCAGATTCGCCCGTGTGACGAGAGCAATCCTCCGCCTCAGCCGAGGCCAGCGAGAGAACGGCACCCGAGCAGACACGGCGACTCAGCCCGCGGCGCCCGCGAGCTGGCACGGGGCCTCGAGTGGGACCCCCAGGAGGATGCCGGCCGCTGCGAGGGCGGTCCGAGAGGCGGCCCCTGCCTCCAGGAACTCGCGCGCGGGCAAGAGGCCTGCGCCGCCGCACCGGCCGTCGTGCTTTCCGTTCTCGTCCAGGTCCAGGCCGAACTTGCGCTTGCCCTTCTGGTCCTCCGGCCTGTCCTTGCAAAAGCTCCCGTCCGCCGCTTGGGAGGGGGCGCTCGGCTCAGGGGTCACAAACACTCACGCGTCCGTGGCCCTGAGCGGAGGCTGAGCTCGGTCGAGGGAAACACCCACCAGCACGTCTGCGGCCTCGAGCACGGACTCGCCTCCCCCTCCTTTTACGGTCTGCCCCTGCCTGGACCCCCCAAGGACGCCTCCGCGCCCCGACGCCAGCCGCTGGGGAGGGGGGCCCTCATCCCAGGGGCTTCGACCACCCACGCGCCCGTGGCCCTGGAATGGAGCTGAGCTCGGTCACGGGCTTCGGCCACCCGCTCGTCTGCGGCCTTGCTCCGCCCTCGCCTCCCCCCCCATTCTGGGTCGGCCCAGCATCGGGCTCCCCAAGGACGTTTCCACGCCCTGGCGCCGACGACGGCCCCCCCCCCTGGGGCTTCGGCCACCCGCGCATCCGCGGCCCAGGGTGGAGACTGGACCTGGCCGAGGGCTTCCGCCACCCGCACGTCTGCGGCCCCATGCCAAGGTCCGCTGCCCTCCTTTAGGGTCTGCCCCTGTCCGGGCTCCCCAAGGACCGCTGCTGGCCCCAGTTTCCGCGAGCGCCTGAGCTCCCTACACAAGCGCGCCCGCGCACTGCCCTCCAAAGGCTCCAGCTGCTCGCTGCCGTCCTCCGTGATAGCGACGACGTCGTCCTTGAAGCACACGGCGACAGGGGCTCGAGGCCGCTGCGCAGCACATAGCGGGCCAAGCGAGGCCTGCTCTCGAGGCGCCAGGGAAACCGCCCTGGGGGATCCGCACGGCGTGCCATGCGCGTTTGCGCCGCTTCCGAGCGTCCCCAGGGAACCGTTGCCCAGCGGCGGTTTTGCGGAGGGCTGGCCGAGCCGCCGCTTCTCGGCCCTGCCAGGAGCCCGGGCCTCCGCGGGCCTTCGCGTGCGCCCGCACCGCGACCTCTGCCGCGAGGTGGCGCCGCGCCCGCGCAGCTCGGCGAACCGCGGACGCCCCCATCTCGGCCGCCTCCTTCGGGCGCTGCGTGCTGCGCGTGCTGGGCCGCCCCGCCCGTGCGCCTGCGGGCAGGCGGCCCCCCGCCGCCATTGCCAAGCATCTCCCGACCGCGCCCCGCTGCACAGTGTGGGAGCACCTGCGAGAAGCTATGGACAAACAGCTTGGGCCAAAACGGCCACGGATGATGATGATGATGATAATGATGATGATGCTGATGAGGATGATGATGCTGATGATGATGATGGTGACGGTGATGATGATGATGATGTTGATGATGCTGATGATGATGATGCCGATTATGATGATGTTTTTTCCTCGACGTCAGGACCAACATCTGATATCAGGATATGGTGTATAATGAAACCAGATTTAAAGTGATCCGTCGCAGAGAGCCGACTGTCTCGTGTTGCCCCGCTTGGGCCAGACTGCCAGGGTGCTGCTCGGAGGGGCCTCCTGCGCAGCGCGTGCCAAGCAGCGTCGAAATTCTAGCTGAGATATTCGGCCGCTTCTTCTTCGGCGGTTGTATCATGCTCAGGTGGGGCCTCCCCCTCACACTGCTCCTCTGGATGTGCTGGCACGGCAGAGGGGGAGTGGAGGCACGACGGAGGAGGGAGGGTATGTGGCCGGCCGTGACCGCGCCGCTGCTGGCAGGGAGGTTTTTGCCTCGAACGAAATTGACGCGGCGTTGGCCATTCCCCATTCGCGGAATCAATTGCAGCGTGGCCTGACATGTCCTCACGGTCCAATATCTCAAGCTGGTATTAACGATTTCTGTATGCCCCTGTTTCGCCGCTTAGTGCAGTGCTGTACAACTGTCATGGTCATACTTCGTCCTATAGCCAGTAGCTGCATCGATTGATTTGCAACGTGGGCAATCCAGCAGAATGCGCACGATTGGAGTATGACCTAGGTGCGCAGCGAAGTGCAAAGCAGTCCAACCATACAGATCTCGTTTGTTCACATCTCTGGTGAAGCTTTTGTGGCCTAGAAGGCGACAACGACTTCTGTGAGACCCGCATCAGCAGCTGTGTAGCACGGTCCCTTCGGCAACGGAGCCCATCTCGCCGTAACGAAGGGTACCATCGTGAAGCCCTGGTGCATTCACTCTCGTCAAAAGCCTTGACCGTGCCTGGTGTATTCACTCTGGTCAGAAGCCTTAAACATGCGTCAGCATCGCCAGCAGCGATACAAGCTGCAAGACAGTTGCCAGGGTCATCACTCATGCGCAGAAGCTGCACCTCAAAACTCTCCATCCCCATCTGCAAGGGCGAAGGAAGTTCGTAGTCGGCAAGCTCACGGGTGCCACACACCAAACGCTGTTGGCTTTGCGGAACTCAGGTCTCGAAGTAAATGTAGACCTCCAGATCAGCCACCGCAGCATCCTTCAACATGCGGAACTCCAAAAGCTGACCTCCCAAGCCGTCGCGCACAGCAACCTCGACCATTGCGACTGGAAGGCACACAGCTCTTGGAAGTCAAAAGAGGCTTGAGCCACAACGACTACGGACGATGATGATGACAACATGTCACGGCGCGGGTTCCGAACGGTCGCGGAGAATGCAACGCTCCTGCCCCAATCCTGCGCTGCCCCTGACGCGTGCTCGCGCAGCCGCGATCCCCTCCGCAGGCGAAACCGCCTGCGTCTGGCGAGCCCCGGCGCACCGCGGGCCTGGGACCGCCCTGCTGTTCTGGAGCGGCGCAGGGGGCGACGCACTGGGCAGGGCCCGCGGGGCTCTCGGCAGCTTGCGATCGCCGCGAGTGCTGCTTCAGGTCGCTGTTCTCGGTGCCAGAAGAGTCCGCCAGAGGCATCGGTGCTCCGGGTGGCGGCAAGGGCCTGGCCTTAGGTCGGGCATGTCATCCTACAGGCGGATTCTGGAGGTAAAATGAACACACAGTCACACCATACTCAAAAACGAATCAGAAATGACCGACAAATCGTCCCTTGGTTATTTGTTCGACTAAGTATAGTTGAATATTCCTCCTGTAGACAGAACCCACCAGGCCGCCGCAGTGTGCGTTTCGTGCGCCACTGTTGGCGGCGAGCAGAAGGGGGTATGGGGAGGGGGGAAGGCTTCTTAGAAGGAGGCTGCTTCTTAGAAGGCGCCGGCCTTACATCTACAGAGAAGGTCCGAATCTTCAAAGAAGCAGGGGTGCTTCTAAGAAGCCTTCCCCCCTCTCCCTGCCCCCCTCTGCGCGCCGCCAACACTGGCCCCGACCTGGCCACCGTCAGTGCCCTGCCAGGCCACCGAGACGTCGGCGCGGCGGCCGCCGGTCTGGATTGGCTGCGCCGCGTGGCTCATGTCACTCCCGTCGTGCTCAAGGGCAACATCCCAGTACCACTTTCGAGCACCCAGAGAAAAAGTGTCGAAGCAGCGTCGAACGAGCGTCGCCTCCCAGGGCCCACAACACGTGAAAAGCCTCAAGTTTCGGTACGTTCTGGGTGCTCGAGATTCTTTCCAGGGATCAAGGCTAAAGTAGGTTGGAACATCATAAGCCTGTGGTCCAGCTCCCACTGCACCCGCCGCCCGCACAGGCCCCCGAAGAGCAATCCCCCAGAGGCGGTGGTCACGGAGAGATCCCCGCGTGCCTCTCCCTGCCCGGTTCCCCCCGGGGCCGCAGGCGACCCGAGGAGGAGGAGGAGCAGGAGGAGGAGGAAGAGGAGGAGGAGGAGGAGGAGGAGGAGGAGGACGGGTCGCCTAAGCCCTTTGGAACGCAGCAACGCATGGCGCCGACCTGGCCCCGATGCTGCGCTGGTCCCACCTCGAGAGACCTGGCCTGGCCGCCGTCCGCTCGGCGCCGCAGCGCGCCCCCCCGGACCAACCGATCGCAAAACCGCCGAAACCAAAGCAAAAAAAACAGGGCGCCCTGGATGCAAGCAAGGTGTTCCCTGGCATGGGCTTCCACTGCCCCCGCTCTGCTGAAGCCCCTGCCCGCCGGGAGCTGGCCCGGCCGCCGCCGACGTGGTTTCGGCAAGCCGCCCGTCCCGGGCAGCCCGGCTGCCCCGTGCTGGCGAGGCTATACGGCTGGTGCGCGACTGGCTCCCACGTGCTCACACTCGCTTCCGCCTGCTCCCGTCTGCAGTATGCTCGACTTCGCCTGCGCCCACTTTCCTCCTGCTCTCCTCCGCTTGATCTCCCTCGCCCCCGCTCGAGACGAGATGCCTCCAATTGCGCTTCTGGTTGCTTCCGCTTGCCTCTGTGGGCTTTCCCTTGCTTCAGCTTTGTCGGGGTCCCACGTGCCAGAGCGTCCCCATTCGTGACTCCGTACGGTCACAGCGGCTCTCGTAGCTTGCAACACGGGGGGTATGGTCGGGAACTTGTGCGTAGCGTGTTGCAGCGGCGGCCACGCCGACACGCGATACCCTTTGAGCTGATACCGTGTCGCTTCTCTCCGCGGGGCGGGAGGCTGGGAAAGGCTCTGGACGTTGACGTCTGGCGACTGCGACGTGGATAGCGTGTCGCGCCGCAACGCGGTGGGCCAGAACCGGCTGCGCGACGCACGCATGCGCAGAAGGTCCCCGACCGTTAGCGGCGCCTGCAGAGGCGATTTCTGCCCCTCCGCCCCCAAGACGAGTGGCCATCTGCGCTGCCCGCCGCCGGCTCCTTCGAGAGCAGCGTGCCCGTCTCCAGCTTCCGCCTCTGCACCTCCTGCCGGTGCCAGTCGTGCAGCTTCTCCTGAGCTCGGGCCGCCGGTGCCATGGCGAGGGGCGCCGCAGAAACGAGACGGCGGGGCGGGACCCCCACCTCCCCTCGGTGGTGGTCGACCCCAAAGGGGGTCCAGCTGAAAGGGGGGGGGTGCAACAGATTTGGGGCAATTGTGTTCCAAACATATTGCCCCGAAGAGTTGTACTGCATCGTATTGCAACGAATGTATTGCGCGTCCCCAATCTATTGCACTACCCCCTTGTCGCTGGACCCCCTTTTGGGTCAACCCGATCGGTGTGACGGCGGAAGGTGGTTGGCCACCTTCAGCCTCTGGGGTTCCTCGCCGGGCCCTGGAATCGTCAGAAGACGACTCGGGATGAAAGTCTGGTCCCCGGCCAGGGTCCAGACCTCCGGGGTCGGCGTATGACAAGGGCTTGTCTGTTCGAGTCGTCGCTTCCATCAGTCGTCGTCGCCGTCGTCCCCTCTCCCTGCACTCTCCTCCTCCTCCTCCTCGAGTTGGTCCGCGGGAAAAAACCTAGCAATGTCTTCAGCGAGTCGAAGGGGCGCCCCTTCACTTGGGGGTCCCGGGGAGGGGGTCCAGGGGGATCCGGGGAGTTCCCAAAGGAGGGGGGGCTCCAGACCTCCGGGGCTCCGCGCTGTGACCAGCTCCACGTCGGAGTTCGCGGGGCGGGGATCTCTCGGAGGCGTGGAGGTGCACGGGGCCCAGAGCTCCGACGTCGTGCCAGAGGATTCACACGGCAGGGGCACCCAAACATGTGCACCTCCTCCTCCTCCTCCTCCTCCTCCTCCTCCTCCTCCTCCTATTCCTCCTCCTCCTCCTATTCCTCCTCCTCCTCCTCCTCCTCTTCCTCCTCCTCCTCCTCCTCCTCCTCCTCCTCCCAAGTCATTGCTGGTCTTTCTCGGCCTCGGGGACCGGGGGGGCGCCCCCGGCAGACGGCCCCCTCCCGAAGAGGAAGAACGCTCCAAGGCCTCCCGTGGGGGACTCTCGCGCGAGGAGGAGGTGCGGAGGGAGGGGGGATGGTGCTGGGACGATGCCGTGGGCGAGCTGCCGTGGTCTTGGTTGCTGCGGCATGCGGCAAATGCTGCGCAGGTGGCGCGGGACGAGGAGGCGGGGAGCAGATTCCGGGGGGCCCCTGGAAGCGAGGCCCCCCGCGGGGAGCCCGCTTCGAGCTCCGGGCTCCGGGCAGGTCTGTCGCGCGGGACTGATCTGCCGCTGCACCGCACCATCCCGCGGACGAAGGCCAGGGGGGGGGGGGAGAACACTGTCCATCCAGGCGTACGTATATACACATAGACACAGATGTCTGTGTATCGCGCACTCTCTCTCTCTCTCTCTCTCTGTCTCTCCTTGTTGGCGAGAAAAGTAGGAGTAGGAGCAGGAGAGGGAGTGGGAGTAGGAGTAGGAATATGAGTCAAGCTCGCCAGCTCGAGCGAGTCAAGCATGGCATGCCCATTCCCCCCCGCCCTCCCACAGCATAAGAAACAGTACTGGCGCAACTGGGAACCGAAATTTGATCGGCAAGGTGGTTTGCCACAGCTGATGTAGCCGCGATGGCGGTCATCGATAAGAAATCCCTGGCGCGTCTCAAAGACTGCGCTGGCATTTCAGTACGAGCCGACGAGGCCCCAAGGAAGCTTCAGAAGCCTCAGGAGGCCCCAGGAGGCCTCAGAAAAAAAACAGCGACCCTCAGGAAGCCCCAGGAGGCTTCAGGAGGGCCCGGGAAGCCCCAGGAGGTTCCAGGAGGCTTCAGGAAGCCCCTAGGAAGTGTCAGGAAGCCCCCGGGGAATCCCAGGAAGCCCCAGGATGCCTCAGGAGGCTCCAAGAGGATCCACGAGACCCTGGGGAAGCGTCGGGAAAACCCAGGATGTCCCAGGAGACCCTGGGAGGCCCCAGGGGGCCCCAGGCGCTCGACGAATCGGCGAACGAAAAATGTGCGCCGCGCCTTCTCGGGAGCGCAACTTTCAGAAAACATGCGCGCGGCGCCGAAACGAGAGCGACATTTCGCCGTGTCGCGCGCGATGTGCACCGCGCTCCATTAATGCCGCGCGTTTCGCAAAACCGACGACAAGAAAGTCCTCGCTGAGAAGAAGCATCTCGACTTTGCTTTTGTTTTTGACAGGTCGGATGGCCCTCCCGCTTGGAGTTGCCCCAGACGTCCGCGCGCGATGTGCGCCGCGTCCCCTTCCTGCTACGTATTCCGCATCGTCGACGACAAGACAGGCCATACTGAGAGGAAAACAAACACTTTGTATTGATGTTTTACTTTCAGGGTGGGACGGCCCGGATTGACGTCCGCGCGCGATGCGCGCTGCGTCCCATTCCTGCCACGAATTTCGCTTCGTCGAAGACAAGACAGGCCATGATGAGAGGAACAACAAAAGCTTGCATGTATTTTTTTGAAAAATTAGGATAGGAGCCCGGGATGGGATTGCTATCGGACGGACAGAGGCGGCAGTAAGAGTAGATCCTAATGAAGAGTAGAGACAAGGAGTCGGAGGACGAGGAGGAGAAGGAGGAGAAGGAAGAGGAGGAGGACGAGGAGGGGGAGGACGACGCCGACGCCGACGCCGACGCCGACCGACGACGACGACGACGACGACGAGGACGCCCACGCTGACGCCGACGACGACGCCGACGACGCCGACGACGACGACGCCGACGACGACGACGCCGACGGCAAGGAGCAGCTGGCAGCCGCAGCGGCAGCGGCGAGGAGCACCGCCCCTGCAGACAGCAGGCCCGAGCGGCTCCTTGGCGGTTGTGGGGGCGGCCAGGGGCGGCGCCGGCGCCGGCGCGGTCCGCCGCCGGTCTCCAGGGAGGGGACGACAGGCAGGAGGAGGAGGGGAAGGGGGAGGAGGAGGAGGAGCAAGAGGAGGAGGGGGGAGAAGGGAGGAGCAGGAGGAGCAGGAGGAGGAGGAGGAGGAGGAGGAGGGAGGAGGAGGTGGAGGAGGAGGAGGAGAGGGAGGGGAGGAGGCAAGCTATGTGCGCTCGCGTCATATCTGACGTCCTACCCCTCCCTCCCATCCCTTACCATGGCGCTGATTTTCTCTATCCGCGGACGCGTGTCGTAGCGGACCTGTGGCTCCGCGCGCGCGTGCGTAGTGGGTGGTGGTGCGCGTGCGTGCGTGCGTGCGTGTGCGTGGTTGTGGTGGTTGTGGTTGTGGTTGTGGTGG